CTACACAGAGATCTTTGAGCAGCTGTAGCTGTAAATTCAATATCTGATCCTGAGAAGCATCATCTTTAATTAATTTTTTTAACACCTATTGTATCATATATATAACAAAGTCTGACAAACAACAGATAGCAATATGTAGTATAAGTTCGCCCGTCACAATCCCACATAACACATGGTCGGCAAACTTCTAAGACTGATTCTGTCCACTTTAGTGCACCATAGTCAGTTCCGTAATCCATTGCACCAGTAACTCTGCTCTCAATACCATAATTTTTCTGTTCAGACAGTGACAGAGATAATAGGAAATAGCTTTCCACAAGTGAAGCAATGAGTTCCTCCCTAAACAAGCTTTTACTTGATATACTGTTTAGATCATCATACATTCTTATACCTTCAAAAAGTGAAGTAATGGCTGTCCCTGGAAGAGGTTTCTGACCTCTTTGCACACTTTTCTTTGCAAAAAAAATCTACACAAATAGCTGCATGACAAATGCTTGCCAAAGCATGCTTGTGGTCTGACTCTGCCCTCAAGTTTCTCATCTTAAGAAGAAGCCTCTTAAACAATGAAAACTGCATGCTAAGATATCAAGGAGATGGAGAGTGTTGATCACAGCTCTTACAATGTTTTCTCTAGCTGAGGAAAACTCATGCCTGTCCCAAAGAGTGAGCATTGTAATAATGGAGTAAGAAACCCACTCCGACTTCCCACCCGGAACATCAGCCAACGACAGCAAATTAATTCCATCCTCACATATCAATGGAGGATCCAGCGAGCACTACAGGAAATTCAGCTGTTACCGGCGGTTCTATAGCCGCCGGTATTAACGGCGGTTTAGACCGCCGGAAACACACTCCGGCTTCCCACCCGAAGCCTCCTTCATATAGAGGGGAGGCTGTCAATTTTTTTTTGTAGGAGCTATAGGTTTCCGGCGGCTACCCTGCTGTTTGGCCGCCGGAAACTACGATACCAGACTGATTATAAAAAGCCGTTGGTAACTTCGTTAAACCGCCGGTAGTATGCCGGCGGTTGCCCGACGGTGGCCGGCGGTTGTCCGTTGAAAGCCCAGCAGTCTAGACCCCCATTTCGATCGGTGGTCTGCCCGCTGGCGTCGTACTGGCGGTTGACCGATGCTACTAGGCCATCATTGAACGGTCGTCGGTAACCTGACCGGCGGTACATTGGCCGGAACACCGTCGGTACAAAGCTGTGGAATAACCGGCGGTATGTGCCGCTGGAAATCCGTCGGCTAATTAAGCCATCGGTAAAAATCGTCGGAAAATAGTTTCCTACGCCATTTATTCCGGCGGTTCGC